CCAAGCCTGCACCACAAAAAGTCTTCGTCACAGGCTTATCTCTGTTTCATCTTCGTGGCTCTTTGTTCCAAAAGGATATCATAAGGACCAACTAATTGAAGTCCAAGGCTTGCAGAAAGTGAATCAGCTGGCTTTTCAGGATCAAGTTCTTCACAGAACTTCCAGAAATGACAGAAATCTTCAGGGTCCTACTCTGCTACACAGACTGGAGTGCAGTGATGAAATCATAGCTCACTGCAGCCTCGACCTCTCAGGCTCAAGTGATCCTCCCACCTCAGCTTCCCAAGAGGCTGGGAGCACAGGTATGTACCATTATCACCACATCTGGCTAATTTTTAAATTTTCTGTAGAGATGGAGTCTCACTATGTTGCCCAGGTTGGTCTTGAGCATCTGGGCTCAAGTGATTCACACATCTCAGCCTCCCAAAGTGCTGGGATTACAGGCATGAGCTATCATGCCTGGCCTTTGTTTAGATTTTAATCCAGAAGGGTAAATCATTATTTAAATAGTGGGGTGCAGCTGTCCACAAAAGCAAGAGGAGCGATTAATTCATTGAGAAGCTTCTGCCCCCATGAGTCACTAGTCTGTATTTATTTATTTATTTATGTATTCTTGAGACAGAGTCTTGCTCTGTCTCCAGGCTGGAGTGCAGTGGTGTGGTCTTGGCTCATTGTAACCTCTGCCTCCCGGGTTCCAGTGATTCTCCCACCTCAGCCTCTGAGTAGCTGTGATTACAGGCATAAACCACCACACCCAGCTAATTTTTTGCATTGTTTAGTAGAGATGGGGTTTCACCATGTTGGCCAGGCTGGTCTCAAACTCCTGGCCTCAAGTTAGACCTGCCTGCCTTGGTCTCCCAAAGTGCTGGGATTACAGATGTAAGCCACCAGGCCTGGCTGATGCACTAGTCTTACTGTTCCACCGGCCCCTCGCTGTCAGCCATCCTACGTAAGTCCAGGAGCACACACACCCATCTCCCACTGAGGCTACAAGAAAGGGTTCAGGCTCCTACTGACTGGGGACCTTCAACTGGGCTCTCCAGGTGCTGGGCTGGGCTGAGGAGCAAATCCACATGCTGGCATAGGAACGGGAATATGGAGGCCATTTGTGACATCTCCATTATGCAAATAATGTGCTGATCTCAGGTGTTTTGGCTTAGTTTAGGTTGTAAAAGTGGAAGTGTTGGGTCAAAAGCTATCAGAGATCTAAAACTGACCATGTTACTGCCACCCCCTAAAACTCTTCAGTGGCTCCTCTAGAGCTTTTGGGGTAAACTTCAGGCTCCTTGGTCTGTCCCATGGGGTTCTTCACTGTTGGCCTCTGCTGGTCTTTCCTGCCATTGCCCGTGGCTCTCTGCCCCTGACACATGGGATTTCTTTGTCCTCCTTTGCTGAACTGCTGTCAGCTTGCCCACTTGGTAAAGGTCTGTTGGTCTGTAGTGGGGGGTAGCTTATCCCTCAGATCCTTTCATTTCCACTTAAACGTCCCACCTCTCTGGTCCTACCTGGAGGCCCAGGATGGGATACTGAAGAAGATGGCGTCAGGCACCCCACCCAGCCACAGGCAAGGGCCCCGCTGTGGCTGGGGGGCCTCTCATCATGCCTTTCAAAGTTTCCTGATTGGATCCATCTCCTGGCCTAGGGCCCCAGGACCCCAACCTGAGTCCTGGAGAGTGAAAATGGAGCCCTTTTCACAAAGACGCTGTGTAGTGGGCTGTGAGCCAAGCAGCCTGGATGCGTGGGGATGGAGGGTGGCATGATAGGGAGTGAGGCCTGCTTTCCTCTACTGCTGGGTACAAGGCATGGCTTCATCAGTAGGGCCCATGGTGGGGGATGGGCAGGTGCAGGTGGGGAGCTGGACCGTGGCAGATTTTGTCTTGAGCATGAATGAGACAGTGCAGGGTCCTCCTGAAACACCAGGGGACACAAGAGGGCTCAGGGACCTGCAAAAGAGGAGGGGGCAGGAGCAGAGGAAAGATACATGTCGTATGAGTGTGACAATGGGAAGCCCAGGTGGCCAGCAGAAGCCCCTCTGCTCCTCAGCATGGTTAGAAGCAGAGTTGTGGAGGTGATGGACCCTGCAAGCCTGGCCTCCCCATGCTGTTGTCCATGAGCAGTTGCTTAGCCTTTCTGAGCCTCTGTTTCCCATCTTGTCAAGGGGGATGGTGACAGCACCTACCTGTCAGGGTTTGTTAGGCTGTAGGTGAAGTGCTGGCCTGAGTCTCGGTGTTGTGGGGAAGGATTTGAGTTTCCGGGTGTGAAGTATGAGCTTCCAGCAGGGGCACATCCCAACTGGGGTCCTGACTGAGAACCCAGCTGCTCACCCCCTTGACCCATGGGTGGGTGAGTCAGTGGTCGGGAGCTAGAAATGGGGGAGGGGATTGCTTGGAGGGTGCTGTGGGTGCATGGGACACTTCCGAGGAGTGAGGGGGTTGCCCCTCCTGGAGAACCTCTCAGGAGCCCTGCAGGGTTGGGAGATGCAGAGGCCTGAGATCTGCTTGAGGGATCTGAAGATGACGGGCCATGTCAGTGTTTGTTAATGTGTCCCTGAGTTGTTAGTGAAGGGGACTGTGACAGTCCCTGGGACAGCCCTACTCACACCTTTGAGGTTATCTGGGGCTCCGCTCTGGGTGGCTGCATGGGCTTTGCAGAGGGCTGGATGTGGCTGGGTTCCCAGACTAAGTTGCTGGCCATGATGGAGATGCCTGCTGTGGTCTAATGCTGGTGTCCCTGAGTTCCTGTGTTGAAACAGAATCCCCAATGTGAGGGTATGAAGAGGTGGGGCCTTTTGGGAAGTGGTTAAGTCATGCAGGTTCTGCCCTTTTGAATGTGCTTAGTGCCCTTATAAGAGGGGCTGGAGGCAGCTGCATACCCCTTCCATGTGAGGGCATGCAGATGGCACCACCTGTGAGGAGCCAGACACTGAATCCACCGGTACCTTGATCTTGGACTTTCCAGTCCCCGGAGCTGCGAGCAATGCATTCTCATTGTTTATAAATTACCCGGCCTCAGGTATTCTGTTACAGCAGCTGGAACCAAGACACCATTTCCCAAGGAACTGCTTAGGGTGGGCGACAGTCCCCAGTGATGCAGTGATTGGGGGCAGGGGTTTCAGAGAACCCATGGGTCCACCATGTGAGAATGAATTGATTTAGAACCCCAGTCAGTCCCAGGGCCTCTGAGGCAAGTCCCAGTCAGGGAAGAATCTTCGGGTCTGCAGGCTCTACCCCACCCCAGCTCCCTCCCTGGAGAAGAAGCCTAGGTGTTGAAGGAGAGCCCATGGCCAGGCCCCGCCTGGCGCTTGCTGTTCGGCTGAGCGGTATTAGGGGTTCACATCACCTGGTGCCACGCCGAGCTCAGGGGCATTAGTCCTGGGCACCACCTGTGCCGCTGACACTTGTCCCACAGGCACAGGCCCTGCCCTGTGGAGCCCCTGGGGGCCATCCCAGCTGGCCGGACATGACACTGGAGCCAGGACTAGAGAAGGACAGAATACACCTCTTCAGGGAAGGGCCATGAGCCCCAAATGAGCCCAAGGAGCAGACCATGTGGCTGTGAGCAAGGCCTCCCTGGGCTCTGAGGCTGCACCTTGAGAAGGCACACTGTGCTGCCTGGAGTGTCTGGGCAGGTCCTCTGAGGGAGCTCACGCCCTCTGGCCGCACCAGGGCCTGGCACCCAGCAGCTGCTTGGAGGGGTGCAGAGCTGGGCTGAAGGCCCCTTGGAAGATCCTGATACATAAATGTGCTCAGCCCGAGCTCCCAGCCCTGCCTTCTCCACAGGGCTGGCTGTGGGCTGCCTCCTTCCCTCCTGCCCCATAGACTCCGCTGCCAGAGCTGGGAGCACTCAGCTTCACCTGGCCATCCTCCTGATACCCATCCTGTGCTGGGCCACTGGGGGCTGCTATCAGGAATCGTTTCTGGGAGATGGGTCCAGCATCTGAGGCTGTAGCTCTGACTGGATTGACAAGACAGGGAACAGCATGTCAGGCAGTGGGAACAGCATGCCGGCATGGCCAGGAGGCAGGGATGGTCCCTGCTGACCTCTGGACAGGGCTTTTCTAATATTGCCCAAGTGGCTCCAGGGACTGAGGGTGTCAGGTAGGGATAGGGTGAGAAGGTGGGTCTAGCCAGCTCCTGGAACCCCTAAAACTCCTTGGGTTTGGCCCCCAGGGCTCTGCCCAGGCCCTGTGGGAGCCCTGCCCCAACCTCTCCACACTACTTGCCTTCCCCAGGGTCTCAGATGGAAAGAGTGGACTGGGGTGGTGCAGGGCAGATTCTACTTAGCCCCGATGTGCAGGCCCCCCTGCCTCTGCTGGGTCCTTCTGTGGCCTTGCTATGGTCCTGGCTCACCAGGCAGAATCCCTGAGCTGGCTGAGGCACCAGGGCTGCTGGTGGCCCTGTCTCTGCCTGTTCCCCAGATAGGACCCAAGTCCAGGTCAACCGAGTCTGGTGCTGAGTGGGACCCCACCGCTGAGGGGCCTGACATGGCCTGGAGCTGGCCAGGGTAAGTCAGTGTACCCCAGTGCCCCCCACCCCGCCCATCCACCACCCAGCAGGCCCTGACCAGGAAAGGGGGTGTACATTGTATTCTCCAACTTCTTGGCTAGATGACCTTGTCATGTGTCAGGTGGGGTGGCAGACGTTCCCTGGCCCACTGCCTGCTGGCTCAGTTTGTGAGGGGCTGGAAACAGACTGGGTGGGACTATGGGAGGGGCCTGCTGTTGGGCCGTTTTGTTGGCTTCTTCATGCCCTGCTCTGTGCAAGGGGCCCCAGGCACAGGCAAGGCTGTGGGTATCCCTCATCAAAGGTTAACTGAGCAGCCACCATGCACCAGGCTCTGTGAGCAAGACATGGGGTCTCTGGATGGGAAACGGGAAACGGACACCTGGTCCCATGCTGAACCGTGGCTACGGCATTCCCAGAGCTGAGTTGAAAACCTGCCAGGCATCCTGGCCAAAGGTCATTTCAGGCCGGCGGGTCAGAAGCATGGGTGGACATGGATAAGCAGGGTGTACGGGTGTGTTTATAGCGACTAAAGTTTACAGGGGGCTGGGCTTTATAGCAACTAAAGCTTATAGCAGGACTGCCGTGTACACACTGTAACTCCGTGTGTCCAGTGTCCTGCCGACCCGTTCCACAGCTGTCACCAGAAAGCTATCCCCTGGGGCCAGCAGCATCCAGAAAGGGGGTACCTGGGGCTGCAGAGACAAGCTCATAGGCAGAGCAGGGCAAGAGCCCATGGGCAAAATGGCAGTGGCTGCCGGTGGGCTCGGAGCTGGTGCAGGCATCTCACATGGCACCGTGATGCCTGCTGTGGTTGCAGAAGTTCCCAAGCCACCTGATAACAGACTGTGGGTATTGGCCAAAGTGGTACGTCACTGAGCAAGGTCTGGAGCTTGCAGTGGCCCGACCCTCTGAGGCAATGCCGTGTCCTTGCCAAGGATGGACAGACTGACCAGTCACACGACCCCACGGTCCTGAAGGCAGGATGTCCCCAAGGCATGTGCCACCCACACGTCTGGAGGCCCTGGGCCCTGCCAGGGCTGAAGTCCCACGAAAGGTCTCCTGGGCTCATATGGCCACTGTGGGGGGTGGCAGGCCACAGGGTTGGCGTTTGCAAAGTAGTGAGGCGCTCCCCTGCCTCTGCCCGCTGGGCCATCTGAGGCAGGACTGTAGATGGCTTCAGCAGGCTCCATCTCTTCCTCTTCCCTCAGGTCAGCACTTTTCATGTCTTCCCCAAAATAGAAGATCTGTAGATTTAAGCATGTCAGGCAGCTGTGAGAGCCTGGAGCTCCCCACCCCGGTTACACTGTTCTCCAGCACAGCCACCTTCTCAGTGCGCTGAGAAGAGCCAGCCTTCTGCCCCAGAGGGGTGTTCTGCAAGTCCCTGTGGCTCAGCCCTCAAAGTCCATTGCTATGGATCATTTCCAACCGTCACTCGGACATGTTAACATGCCAAGCAAGAAGGAGGTGGGGTGTGTGCCCCACTGTCTGGCATAAAAATATGGACTGGGAGTCCCTGTCCCTGGGACATGCATCTTGACTGCCCACAGAGGCAGCCACCAGCTCAGCCTCTTCTCCTCATCTCCATGACTGTGGCTTGATTCCGCCACCACCCCACTGTGGGCTGCCCAGGCTCCCAGGAGGCTGATGACCTGGGTATCTCTGAAGCCTCTCGGCCCTGACCTGGTCCCAAGCAGCCCTCAGGCCCCATCTCTGTGTGAAGACTCACCTTAGAGATTTCCATCTCTCTTTTTCTGTTTGGTTCTCTGGGCTTTCACTTTCATAAGAAGCCAAATAAAGACCTAGACAGAAAATGAAGTGAAATTTCACGTTATTATGGTTGATAATAGCCTGTTCTACACCCAGAGAACAGGTTAGAACACCCTGTTCTAACCTGTTCTACACCTGCTTTTTGCTTTAAAATTAGACTTCTTGTTTGGGAATAAGTATACATCCAATACGGCTATAAGAAATAACGCAGATTCTGTGGACCCATCACCCACATTCCCCCAGTGGTAACCATGTGCAAAAGTATAGTAGTGTGTGTCACAGCCAGGACACTGATGCCACACAGTTGGGACACAGCATTTCCATTCCACCAAGGGCTCGGTCACCAGAGACCCACGTGCTGCCCTCTGATGGCCACGCGCACTCACCTCCCACCCAATCTCTTTCCTAAGTCCTGGCAACCACCAATCTGTTCTCCTTTCTTTATCATTTCAAGGATGTTCTATAAATGGGTCATATGGGATGTGATGCGATGGGCCTGCATCCCTGGGCACAACTCTGGGGATGTGTCCACGCTGCAGGGCACACCAATCGCTGACAGCATGTGGTGTGGACAGACCACAGTTAGTTTAACCACTTTTCCTCTGAAGGACTTCCAGGGTGTGTTTCTAGTTTTTGGCTATAACAAATAGAACTGTAATAAACATTCGTGTATGGGCTTTTGCTTTTATGTGAAACTCACTTCAAATGATGTATAAATATGTGAGTCTTCATTTCTCTAGAATAACTAACTGCCCAAGAATGCAATGGCGGGGTGATATAATAGTGGCATACTTGGAATAAGAAGCTCTTTGTCTAGTCCTATATTCTGAGGATTATCTCTTGCTTTCCCCTGCTAAAAGTTGTACAGGTTTATATTGTACATTTCAGTCTGTGATCCATGTTGATCTAATTATTTGTATAAGGTGTGAGGCTTGTGCTGGGGTTCATGTTTTGCTCTGTGGATGTCTGGATGCTCCGGCATTGAAGGGCTAGCTTTCCTTCATTGAATTTTTTTTTTTTTTTTGGTCAAAAATCACCTGGTATATTTGTGTGGGTCTCTTTCTGGGTTCTCCATTCTGTTCCATTGATCCATGCATCCATCCCTCCCCTAATACTGTGCTGCCTTGATGACTGTAGCTATACAATGTCACCCTTAACATCAGGTAGACTCATTCCTCCCACTAATCCTTTTCAAGATTGTTTTAACAATTATAGTTCCTTTGCCTTCCATACAAATTTTAGGAGAATCTCATCTCTTAGGATTAAGATAGAATTGCATTAAATCTGTACTTAAATTCTGGAAGGAGAATTAATACCTTTGCTATGCAGTCCTCCTGTTCATAAACATCCATTTATCTACATCGTCCTTGATTTCTTTCATCAGCATTGAGTAATTTTTAGCGTACACATCCTGTGCATGCTTCGTTAGATTACACCCACATATTTCATGTTTGAGGGATTGTAAATGGTATTATAATTTTAGTTTCAGTGTGCACATGTTTATTGTTCATATGTAGAAACACGGTTGATTTTTGCATGTGTGTCTTGTATTCTGTAACCTTGCTGAAGTCCCTTATTAGTTCTGGGAGTTTTTATAGATTCCTTGGAATTTTTTTTTTCATTATCATCTGCAATTAAGGACAGTGTTAATTATATTTTCTGATCTGTGTGCTATTTCCTGTTCTTGCCTTACTGCACTAACTAGATCTTCCATCACTGTGTTGACTAAGAGTGGGGAAGAGTGAACATTCTTTCCTGTTATTGGTCTTAGGAGGAAAGTATTAGATCTTCCACTGTTAAATATAAAGTTCGCAGAAGGGTTTCTGTAGGTGCAACTTATCATGCTGATAAATTCCCTTCTATTATAATTTTCTGAGACTTTTCACCATAAATGCGTGTAGAAATTTGTCAGATGCCTTTTCTGCATTGATTAATATAATCATGTGTCTTTTCTTCTTTAGCTGTTTAGTATAGTGAATTACACTGATTGAATTTCAAATATTGAACAGCTTCCCATCCTTGGAATGAACCCACTTAGTCATGAAGTATAATTATTTTTACATACTGCTGAGCTCTATTTGCTTATTTTGTTAAGGATTCTTGTGTCTATATTCATGAGGAATATTGGTCTATATTTTCTTTTTTTGGAGTACTGTCTTTGATTTTAGTATCAGGGTAATACTGGCGCCATGGTTTGAATGTTTGTGCCCCTGAAAAATTCATTTTGAATTTTTCAAAATGATTTTTGAAAAATTGTAATTCCTAACACAACACTATTAACTAACAGGTGGGGTCTTTAGGAAGCGATTGCACCATAAGGATTCCACCCTCACAGATGGGATTGGTGCCCTTATAAAAGGGCTAGAAGGAGCCAGTCTGGCCCCTTTTTGCCCACCTGCCATATGAGGACACAGCACCTGCCCCTTCTGCTATGTGAGGGCACAGCAAGAAGGCTCCACCTTGGAAGCAGAGAGCAGCTTCCGGAACTGTAGGAAAGAATTTTTTTTTTAACTCAGTGGTAAGAAAATGTCTGTTGTTTATAAATTACCCAGTCTAAGGTACTTTGTTATGGCAGTTCAAACTGACTAAGACAACTGGCTTCATAAAATGAATCGGGAGGCTCCCTCCTCTTCCACTTTCTGGAAGAGATTGTGCAGAATTGGTGTTAATTCTTTAAGCATTTGGTAGAAATCTCCAGTGTAACCATTTGAGCTTGGAGACTTCATTTTTGGGAGTTTTAAAATGATAAATTCAATTTATTTAACAGTTATGGGACTATTCAAATGATCTCTTTTATGTCAAATTGTGGTAATTTGTGTTTTTTTGAGGAATTAACCCATTTCATTTAAACTGTCAAATTCATGTGTGGAGTTGTTTGTCATATTCCTTATTATCTTTTCCATGTCTGTAGTCATTAGTGATATCCTGTTTTACTCCTGGTACAGTAGTCCCCTATTATCTGTGGGGGATACATTCTAAGTCTTCTGTGGTTGCCTGAAACTGCAGATAGTATGGAACCCTGTATATACTGGCCTTGGATCCCTTTTCCATCTTAACTAAGCACTCATCAGGTGACATGGCCATAACTTTTGCAGTTTGAAATGTAATGGCAAAACTAGCAAGAATTTCTGCCTTCAAAATGTGATGGATAAGTTTGTTCTTACTGTAGATCTTAGCAATCTCAGCATACAATATTTTCCCCCTTAATTTGAGAACTTTCACCTCATCTTTTTTAATTTTTATTTTTAGATTGATTCCTGGGTGGATCACCTCATCATTTAAAGGAAGCACTTTATAGCTTCTCTTTGGCATATCTGAATTGCCTGCATCACTACTCATGTACTTTGGGGCCATTAAGTAAAAGAGGCCGGGCGCGGTGGCTCACGCCTGTAATCCCAGCACTTTGGGAGGCCGAGGCTGGCAGATCATTTGAGGTCAGCAGTTTGAGACCAGCCTGGCCAACATGGTGAAACCCTGTCTCTGCTAAAAATACAAAAATTAACTGGGCATGGTGGTTCACGCCTGTAATCCCAGCTACTTGGGTGGCTGAGGCAGGAGAATCACTTGAACCTGGAAGGCAGAGGCTGCAGTGACCCGAGATTGCACCACTGCACTACAGCCTGGAGCCTGGGTTGTCACCCAAGTAGCAAGACTCTCAAAAAAAAAAAAAAAAAAAAAAAAAAAAAAAAAAAAAAAAAAAAAAAAAAAAAAAAAAAAAAAAAAAAAAAAAAAGAAGAGTAAAATAAGGGTTACCTGAACATAAGCACAGTAATACTGTGATAGTTGATCTGATAACTGAGATGGCTACTAAGTGACTAAACGGGCAGCACAAATACCGCACAAATGCTGGACAAAGGGATGATTCATGTCCCAGGAGGAACAAAGTGGGATGACGTGTGCTTTCATCACACTACTCAGAATCGTGCACAATTCAAACCTTATGAATTGCTTATTTCTGGAATTTTCCATTTAATACGTTCAGGTCACAGTTGACTGAGGATAAATACAGATAAGGGGGGGCTACTGTACTAGTAATTTGTGTCTTTTCCTTTTCTTTGTCAAGAGATTCTTTGCTAGACAGTGGCAATTTTTATTGTTCTTTTCTTTTT